ACATACTGTAACCGTTACTTATATAAGTATAGCTCAAGACGCATTGCTAAGATAAAACAGTATTTAATTACAACCGCAAATAAATACTTAACATTAACAAAGAATTAAAAGTCAACCAAAGATAATTAACCATTTCAGTGAATACCTTGTTAGTATCACGGCTGAAATATATAAAGATTAGCGCTAACCATTGCATTTAGAAGAATCGACTAAAAATGATGGTTGAATGACTTCTTCAAAACTAATTTAGTAAATCTCACTTCGGGCCTGGAGGGTTTTATCATATATTCAACATCAATAACAGCAACAACAACAATACTACTACTACTACAACTAATAATAATAATAATAATAATAATAATAATAATGATAATAATTGCATCTCAAACTGGATGTACACCCTGGAATCTCCACCACTATACCGAAGAGATATCAATCGCTTGATAAGTTTGCAGTACCGCCATTTGTGATTCTTCACGCATATCCCGTGGAAGGACAATGTCCGTAACAACAAAGTTGTTGTCATAGCAAACGTGCCAAGTCTGGTAGCGTTGAGGCTATGATGCCACTGGGTATCGTCTGGACGACTATCAACAGCAGAAAAATCGCTCTGTATGGTGAGATATAGTGCGGGAAGTGAGCACGAGTCGATCAAAGACTCCGCTGAATCCAGAGGGCAACTATGAGCGGTGCAGATCCATATAAACGACTGGGAACGCTTTATACCGGAGTAACAAAAATCAAACCGACGAACGGAGATGAATCACCTTCTCGAGTCTTCGTCGAATAGAGCCTTATCGGGCCGACAATGGAGTACTGCTGACATATATGGACAGGAGTTTGTTCAATCTTCACCTTTCAGTCTCGACTGAGTCCAAAATCATTCGACAAAAAGATCTAAATTTTTAAGGCAAATTAATAAGTAATTATTATCATTATTTTTATTATTATTTTCTTTGATTTCTGGCGTTTACACATTTCTTTCCGGGTCCCGCCCAGGGACCTAAGGTTAGAAATGGCGTCATGACACTTTCCTCTGACAAAAAAAAAAAGAAAAAAAAAAAGATTACATAGATAAAGCCCTTCGTAAGGTGTGGGCTGTACTTGTCAGAACAATTTTCTGTATCTCCTTGAGGCATGGACTTCCAGGAATCCCTTCAATTAGTCTACTGGAATCTTTTCCAACCAGTCCTAGGGCTCCAACTACAACAGGGATTGTTGATGTTCCCACATTTTCGCGATTTCTATTTCAAGGTCCTTGTACTTTGACAACTTTTTGATTATCTTCAAAGATACATTGCAGTCAGCAGGGACTGCCATATCAATAAGGAGGCACCGTTTTTGTTTGTGGTCTTTAATAACAATATCTGGGCGGTTGGCCTTGATTGTTCTGTCAGTGTGTATTGTGTAGTCCCATAGAATTGTAACATGTCCTATCTCCGTAACCGGGTCTGGGTGGTGTTCATACCAGTTTCTTTCAGTTTTCTTCCCGTAGAAGTTGCAGATTTCGATTTCTGCTATGGTCACACTTCCTACCAAGTCTGGGGGAAGACCTATGGCAGGTTGTAGTGTTTTATGGCTTCATTTTCATGGTTTGTTTTTCTAACGACCCATAACATCACTAGCGTGACATGGATAAAGTTCTTCTTATGTATGTGGGCTGTAATTATTAAGACATTTTTTTTGTATTTCTCTTACGCTGGGATTTCCAAGGGTTTTTTTTTATTGTTCTGTTCCTTTTTTATAATTACAAGCGCACCTACTATGGCTGGTAGTATTCTTTTTTTCAATTTCCACATTTTTTTTCTATTTCATTTCAGGTCATTTAAAGCCAGAAAATATTTTCGGTAAATTGGCGTCCATATTCATACAGTATTGTACTGTATGTCTAGACTCATCGGACGGCGGAAATTTAAAATTTAAAATTAACGTTTAGCGTCCATTACATCTTCAGAAGATCTTCCCATGTGTAATTGTAAGCGACGATTTTTGCATATGTTTTTAATCCTTTTCCCGACATTATACAGGGTGTCCATAAAGTTCGGGTGCACTTTTTTTAAATTTATAACTTTAACGTGCACACGAACTTTATGGACACCCTGTATATTAGATCATTACAAATGTCCTTGATTAGAAAAAAAAAAATTATTAATCAAATACATAGTCTCCATTATTTTTAGCAAAAATCTTCCATCATTCTACCAACTTCCGGATGCCGTTTCCATAGAAACTTCGTGTTTATTTGGAAGGTTGTAAGGCAGCTTTCAACTGATTGTACAGAGTTAAATTTCTTTATCATTTGAATTGTTCTGTATGGACCGGAACAAATGAAAATCCGTAGGAGCCAAGACATGAGAGTAAGATGGATGCTTGGGGGTTTCAGTTCATTAAATTTTTACAAGGTCTATTTTGTAGCATGCCGTCTTGCGTTGTCGTGCTGGAAGAGAACACCTTTTCGATTCGCCTAAATCGGCCTTTTTTTCTGGAATAGACGCATTGAGATCAGTGAGTTTGTCGCGATGCTTCTTTGCCGTTATTGTTTCGCCGGCTGGAAGTGAATTATCCCCCTGCAATCTCACCAAACGGACGGAGACGGATTCATTGGATGCAAACCCGATTTAGCCACTGGTTCTGCACATTCACAAGCTTGTTCCCAGTTCCGTTGACTTACGTCCATTTTTTTCATCGCCTGCTACAATTTATGTCCGTAACAACAAAGAAATCGCAACGAAAACACAATCGGGTTTGCTCTGTTCCATGTCTCTTCAAATGGCGAAAAGCAGTTGAGATATCAATCATCAAACTCTTAGCAATCTCTTCCTTTGAAATCTTCGGTTTATTCTCCTTGATGGCAAGCAGAGCGTCTTCATCGACATCGGAAAGTCGCCCATTGATAGTTTAGGTTAAAATCACCCTGACGAAATCTGAGAAACCAATTTTTGACCGTCTGAACAAACGTGATTCAAATAAACGTTCTGAAATCTTTTTTTTTCCCCAGAGTTCTTACTCCTTTCCAATATTCATGGAGCATAATATTGGCGAAATTGCGACTTTTCATCCTCCATGTTTAAGGCATTCATTTGTGGACAAAACATTAACATTCAACAAAGTCTGAATTGCAACTGACCCATGCAAGGTTTCAGTCTAGAACACACGAGAAATCCTTCAGAACATTAGTGATCGTAGCTCTCCACAACTTCCTGTCCTTTGTAACTCTTAGTAAATAATGTCTTTTGGTTATCTCTCCCACACCCTGCTCTGCCATGCATTCACTCAAGCTAGCCAGAAAGGTTATGACTTATTTTCCTCTGTCCCTCTTGTCTTCAATATGTCCTGTGAGTAACAAATTTTCCAAGCCCTTTTTCCTCATTATGTGCGCTAGAAATTTCAACTATCTTTTCCTGATGTTAAGTATGTGTCGTTGTTCTGTCGATTGTATCTAGAACTTCGTCTTTGCTCACATGTTCGGCCCATGGTATTCTCAGCATCGTTCTGAAGAACCACAATTCTGTTGATTCAAGTTTCTTCTTCATCTCTAAGTATATTGCCGAGCATTCACTGCCATATAGGAGGACTGATATTATATAACACTTCAGTACTCTTTTCTTTGTTTCTGTTGCTTCAAGTCTCTTCTTCATCTGTAAGGAGATTGTCCAGCATTCACTGCCATATAGGAGGACTGATATTACGTTAACAGTTCAGTACTCTTTTCTTTGTTTCTGTTGCTTCAAGTCTCTTCTTCATCTGTGAGGAGATTGTCCAGCATTCACTGCCATATAGGAGGACTGATATTACGTAACAGTTCAGTACTCTTTGCTTTGTTTCTGTTGCTTCAAGTCTCTTCTTCATCTCTGAGGAGATTGTCCAGCATTCACTGCCATATAGGAGGACTGATATTACGTAACAGTTCAGTACTCTTTTCTTTGTTTCTGCTGCTTCAAGTCTCTTCTTCATCTGTGAGGAGATTGTCCAGCATTCACTGCCATATAGGAGGACTGATATTACGTAACAGTTCAGTACTCTTTTCTTTGTTTCTGTTGCTTCAAGTCTCTTCTTCATCTGTGAGGAGATTGTCTACCACTCACTGCCATATCACGTAACGGTGCAATACTCTTTTCTATGTTTTCAACGAAATGTTTCTGATTCTTAATAATTTGCTTAACTTTTGGAAGGCATCTTTCTTTATCCCAAAGCACCTTCGGATTTCAGTGATGCAATTTCCGTCCTCTGTTAAAACACTTCCCAGATATTCAAATTTTCTCTTGTTTGCATTTTGGTATGTTGATTTATTTCTTTTTCTAGCGACCATGCATTCTGTCTTGTTGCAATTGATGATTAGTCCTTTCTTCTCGCTTTCCTTTATTAGCTTCTGTAAGAGTTCTTTTCTGTGTCTGCTATCAACACTGTCATCTGTATATGTTATGTTACTAAGATAGTTGCCACTAATAATAAATCCTGATAGGACTTCTAGTTCTCTTGGAATCGCTTCGCTGTATAGGTCGAATAAGTCCGGTGGGAAGACGTATCCTTGTCTTACACCGGGGAACTAATTTGCTCTATTTCTGAAGGAATCAATTCGCTGATGATAAAGAAGAAAAACCTGTTAAGAGGCACGATCTCTTACGTTCTGAAAGGACATGGCACTTTTAGGAATATTATAACAGGAAATTTTAATCAGAATCAAAGAATGAGTGCTTAGCTCAAATGCAATATCAATCCTTCTGTATGAAAGAGAATGCTAGACAATCACCTCACAGATTTTGAGGAGACCTGCGGTAAAAGAAATGTAGCTCTACGGAAGGATGCTGAGAATACCATGGACGAAACCTGTGAACAACGACAAACTTCTAGGAGACAATGCCAACAAAAAGGACACTTGCTCTAAGATTCGGAAAGAGACAATATGAAATTTCTGCAACATATAAGTGGATGAAAATTAAAAAGAAAGTAAGGAAAAACAAGAAAAAAAACGAGAAAGAAGAAAATAAGCAAGGAAAAGATTAAGAAAAGGAGAAAGAAAGACGTGGAAAGAAAAGAAGAAGGAAGAGAAGAAGGAAAAGAAAGTGAAAAAAGAGAAGATAAAAAAGAGAAAGAAAAGTAGAAATTAAGAGAGAGAGAGAGAGTGGGTATGGAAAAGAGGTGCAACATTTAATAAAGAGAAAGAAGGCTTGGAAAATTTGACGCACAGAAGGTATATTAATGGGGAGACAGGTAGAGGGAAACATCAAATAATCTCCCGAACGTGCTTTTGTAAATGGATTGCAGGACATAGATGAAAAGAGATAGTAAGGTGATAAACGTTGCTTAAAACATTGCTTCTAACACTTTCGCCCCGGCTCCACAACCTCTGACGTCTTACTCTCTGGGTTGAGGTGTCTACTCGGTCCTAACCGAAGTTAAGGAAGTGGTCGTAGGTCCCCTGAGCATCCGTAGATTATTCGACCGGTCCACTGGTTTAATCCTGCTTCCTGCTCACGTTGTGTTTGGTTTGATCCAGAAAGCAGAAGTGATTTTCATCCATTCACAGTCGACTGAAGATGTAGACGCAGCTGAAGAGTATGCGCTAAGAAATTTAGAATGCAGCAAAAAAAAAAAAAAAAATAATATCTGCAAAAAGCTGGACAAACAACTATTCAATGATTGAATTGTTAATGTCTTTTATATAGCAAAAAAGAATAGTATAGAAAAGAAAACGGGTTACAGAAAAGAAAAGTAATTGACGTAAAAACGCATACACTGGATTCTGGACAGAGAGAGAGTGTGTTATGATTAACCTGTTGTTAAATCGTCTCAGAACGATATACGACTCTTGCCATGGGGGAAATAAGATTTCTGTGCGCGGCTTAAAGTTTATAGTGGCGTTCCTCCTTAGCAGTAGTAACAGTAGTAGTAATATTCATGATAGCAGAAGCAGCAGTACTTATCTCAACAGTACATGTTAGCGGACGCTTCGTTCCAATCTCTGACGTCACGTTCTCTCCTTCTTGAGTCTTCAACTCGACTCTCCACTGTCTCTAGCCCAACTCTTGCGTCTGCCTCTTCCGCCCCTCTCTTCCGTCTGCCTCTTTTTCAGCATAACTACGCGTTTATATAGAAAAGCCCTGCTGGTTATAACTGACCCTTGGCCCTACTACTTCGCACGCGATTATCACGGGGTTATGGCTGTTTCAACCAAAATCATGTGAATTCTACCGGTCCTCCTTACTTACCAAGTTTTATCAATAAATTTTATCAATATGTCGTCCATTTCCATTGCCTTCTGATGACCCAGATTCAATGGGTACACCTTCTGCCCTAGATCAGGTTTCACCATCAGGAAACAATATGCTCTGATCTAATTTCGCTGTTCAAATCCACTCCAATTTCACTAAATAACATATACGTGTGTGTGCGTGCGTGCGTGTGTGTGTGTGTGTGTGTGTGTGTGTGTGTGTGTGTGTGTTTCCCAGATTCTCTCTGTCACAGCTACAAGGAATCGGAAATTGTGAAGAGCCATGATCGCGTACATGACCGGAACAAGGTATATAAAAGAAAAGAAAACAGTTCAACCTAATATAGTATTCTGATCTTTGAACAACGTCTATTCTCCTTCGACGAACTGGTTACGCCGGCTTCAACACTTAAATACCAGTTCATAATTCGTCAAAAACCAAAAAGGTCAATTGCTAATAGTAAGATTAGGCACATCAGATGAGTCATGAGTTGCCGAGCAGTAGAGGAAATTGCCCGTGTTCTTTTTATACGGTTGATGGATTTTATCATTTTAAACGTTATAATTGAGTAGAGGCTCCGTATTTATTTATTTTCGTCTACCGGCCTGAATGTTCGAGGAATCTTATTAAAAAAAAGCAATTTAGAACTTTCTGAAAAAGTTAGATGGCATGACTGATGCCCAAACAAAATCCTACAGGGTATTCGCAAAGTTACTGTGCACTTTTCTAATCATATTTTTTTATATTTCAGTTGTAATGACCGAAGAAACATGAATTTCTCGTCGAACAATTATTTCGAGAAGGGAGTAGACACACAGATTTGGCGCGGCAATGTTTTGGTGATAAATTTTCAGTTGCAATATGATTCGTAACCTTGTTGAATAATTTACGGGAAACATGATCAGTGGACGATGCTAAATGTTGTGGAAGTCCCCAGCAAAGCTATCGGGGAAGAAACTATTGGATATTTCTGATAGTCTTCAGCAAAAACTGAAGAACGTGTATTTCTAGTCGAATACGTATTTCGAGAAGTTGGTAGATACACAGATTTGGTGCGACAGACATTTGCTGTTAAATTTTCAGATACACCTGTTCCCCATCGTGATGTAGTTCGTTTTCTTGTTGAATACATTTCGGGAAACATGTTGGATAAAAAAGTACAGCGAACATGGCGTATTCTATGTTCAATTTATCAGTTGATAAATACAATTTATACATTTATTTATCAAGTTGTTCTAGATAGATACGAGTAAACTGACATTGTGATCTGATGAACCAGGAAAAATATATTTTCTGAGGAAATAAATTATAGTCATGGAATCTTAACGCAGTCTCTTTCTTAATTATTTATATATATATATATATATATATATATATATATATATATATATATACGTTTTGTAACCACGTTGAATAAATTTCGCGAAACAGGATCAGTCGACGATGCCAAATGTTGTGGAAGACCCCATCAAAATTATCAGGGAAGAAACTGTTGGATATTTCTGATAGTATTCAGCAGAGTCCAAGACAATCATTGTGAAAGCTAGCGCAGCAGCCAGCATGATATTGACCCTGGAACTGTTCATAATGCCGTCAGACAAAAAAATTGAAAGTCTTCCCATACAAAATAATGGCGGTACAAGAACGGAAAGCAACTTATCATAAAAAAAAGCTTCGGTTCTATTGCAAATGGTTCAACCGTTTTATTGACAAGAATTCTGCTAATCTGTTGGATGTGACTGACGAAGCATGGTTCCATCTCCCAGGTTACGTTGATATAAGTACATAATGACTTTCTAAACATCCTGTATATATCTGGTGATGCTGTTTAAAGGACAGGACACGAATCTTGGGGTTAAAATCTTGACCGTGCAGCATCTTGCAATGTTGGATAAAAAAGTACAGCGAATATGGCGTATTCTATGTTCAATTTATCAGTCGATAAATACAATTTATACATTTATTTATTAACAAACTCTTCCCATACGAAATAATGGTGGCACAAAAACGGAAATCAACTGATCATGAAAGCAGTAAGGCAGGTCGATTTTAGAACCGTGGTATTGTACTCAATTTGAACGATAAAAAATAACGCCAAGTATTTTTTCTATATCGTTACCGTTTTTTTGAGGAAACGAGTTTGAAGATTAAAAATGAGATCCTAGTGGACTTTTTACATATATATGAGCATGTAATAAATAGCAGGAAATTTGTGGTTGATTTTAGTGGCGACATTTTTTTCGATTTTTTTCTAGGTTCCACTCAACTCTAGAACCTTGAGGTGAACTCAAGGTTCGTGAGTCCTTGTATATCAGATCCCGTGGGCCTTCCCTTTCTAAACAGAGGGAATACTTACTGGGTCTGAATGTTATTAGACTCTAGTTTTTTTAAATTCATTTTTTTTCTATTCCATTCGTTATAATAATTTAATTTACACGCTTCTATATTTTTTTTATATCCCAGAAAAATAAACTTGATAAGTCCTGGGACAAAACCGGTTGTTCTTTTTTTTATCTTTTTAAAAAATGCCATATAAATTTTGCTTTTCCTAGCTATTGTTAAATTTCGTACCATAAAAAAAAGAAGTTGGTAGATACACAGATTTGGTGCGACAGACATTTGCTGTTAAATTTTCAGATACACCTGTTCCCCATCGTGATGCAGTTCGTTTTCTTGTTGAATAAATTACAGGAAACATGATCAGTGGACAATGCCAAATGTTGTAGAAGACCCCAGCAATGCTATCAGGGAAGAAACTGTTGGATATTTCTAATTGTATGCAGCAGAATCCAAGACAATCATTGTGAAAGCTAGCGCAGCAGTCAGCATGATATTGACCCTGGAACTGTTCATAATGCCGTCAGACAAAAATTGAAAGTCTTCCCATACAAAATAATGGCGGTACAAGAACGGAAAGCAACTTATCATAAAAAAAGCTTCGGTTCTATTGCAAATGGTTCAACCGTTTTATTGACAAGAATTCTGTTAATCTGTTGGATGTGACATTTTTTTTTACTGACGAAGTATGGTTCCATCTCCCGGGTTACGTTAATATAAGTACATAATGACTTTCTAAACATCCTGTATATATCTGGCGATGCTATTTAAAGGACAGGACACGAATCTTGGGGTTAAAATCTTGACCGTGCAGCATCTTGCAATGTTGGATAAAAAAAGTACATCGAACATGGCGTATTCTATGTTCAATTTATCAGTCGATAAATACAATTTACACATTTATTTATCAAGTTGTTCTAGATAGATACGAGCAAACTGACACACACGCACACACACACATATATATATATATATTGTGTGTATTTAGGCAACTATCCTTCATTTAATTTTTTTTTACAAGTTTTTAATCTTTTTTGTAAAAGAAAATTAAAAATAATGGAAGCCCTAATAATAAAAAAGAAAAAGCCAACTCTTAACATTATTAACTAGGAACAGGGCCACAATGTGCTAACCGTTTTCGGGAAATAAAACATCTCTATAACACGCTAAAAGCATGCACATAACGCACACACTCAGTTAAACTGATAATATTAAATCATCCTTGATAATTGCTAAAAGTATAGCCGAAAGCACGCGGAACATTTGGACAGTTTCTACATACTCTGTGTCCAAAAAAGAAAGGTCTTGTTCAAACACAAGAAAAATGAAATAAAATGCTTAACCGTACTAACATCCAGATAGATAGATAGATAGATAGATAGATAGATAGATAGATAGATAGATAGATATGAACAGAATTAGATATGAATAGATTGAGATAGATAGATAGATAGATAGATAGATAGATAGATAGATAGATAGATAGATAGATAGACTGGCTGACAGACAGACATGAACAGAATTAGATATGAATAGACTGAGATAGATAGATAGATAGATAGATAGATAGATAGATATGAATAGACTGAGATAGATAGATAGATAGATAGATAGATAGATAGATAGATAGATAGATAGATAGATAGATATGAATAGACTGAGATAGATAGATATGAATAGACTGAGATAGATAGATAGATAGATAGATAGATAGATAGATAGATATTTAAGTGAGCATATCTAAAGAACTTAGCACCTTTTCCAAACTGTTTTTTTTTTTTGTCTCCTTTTCAAGTGTTTATTTTATGAAGACTTAATCGACGTATTCACCGCCACTGCTCAGGTGTAAGTCGTCCCGCTTGACAAGACTCCCCGCTGGGTGGAGCGCCGACGTTACAAACCGCCCCTAGTTATGTTGTTCTTTTGTTTGTTTGCTGCTGCTGCTGTTGTTGTTGTTGTTGTTGCTAAAGCCACCCCGATACCCGTACAAGTTTAATGAGGTGTACAGGAAGCTATTGAGCAAAGCTGGATAACTGTGAGTCAATAACATTAGGTAACGACAAGGGATTAGGGAAAGAAGAAGAAGAAGAAGAAGAAGAAGAAGAAGAAGAAGGAGGAGGAGGAGGAGGGGAAGGAGGAGGGGATTATATATGAGAACAAAAAAGGAAAGAACAGAGAATAATAAGTGGATAATTGATTTAAAAGAAAGAGAAAAGAAGAAGAAAAGAGAAAGGACAAGAGAAAGAAAATATGAATAAAAAAAAGAGAAATATTCGGTTGGTGCATAATTATCAGTCGTTTTTGTAGGCGAGTTAATAAAGATTACTGTTTTGCTTACATTCTTAATAAAAATATTATTATATTTTCAGGTTATAGAAATGCGTGTCGATAATCATACGCTCCGGAATAATCATTTGAAAACGTTATTGTTGAATTATTATGTTTCTTTTGTTCAGAATAAATATTATATCAAAAATGCCTGATAATTATGCACCAATCCAATATTAAGATAAGAAAAAGAAAGAAAAAGAGGATGAAAGAGGAAAGAAAAAATAGATGAAAAAAAAAAGGAAAATGAGGAAGAAAATAGAAAAGAAGAGGAAAATGAGGAAGAAAAAAGAAAAAGAGAAAAGGAAAGGAAAATGAGGAAGAAAAAAGAAAAGAAGAGGAAAATGAGGAAGAAAAAAGAAAAAGAGAAAAGGAAAGGAAAATGAGGAAGAAAAAAAAAGAAAAGAGGAAAATGAGGAAGAAAAAAGAAAAAAGAAAAGGAAAGGAAAACGAGGAAGAAAAGAAGAGAAAAAAGAGGAAAATGAGGAAGAAAAAAAAAAGAAAAAGGAAAGGAAAACGAGGAAGAAAAGAAGAGAAAAGAAGAGAAAATGAGGAAGAAAAAAAAAAAGAGAAAAGGAAAGAAAACGAGGAAGAAAAAGAAGAGAAAAGAAGAGGAAAATGAGGAAGAAAAAAAAAAAGAAAAGGAAAGGAAAACGAGGAAGAAAAGAAGAGAAAAGAAGAGGAAAATGAGGAAGAAAAAAGAAAAGAAGAGGAAAATGAGGAAGAAAAAAGAAAAAGAGAAAAGGAAAGGAAAATGAGGAAGAAAAAAGAAAAGAAGAGGAAAATGAGGAAGAAAAAAGAAAAAGAGAAAAGAAGAGGAAAACGAGGAAGAAAAGAAGAGAAAAGAAGAGGAAAATGAGGAAGAAAAAAGAAAAAGAGAAAAGGAAAGGAAAACGAGGAAGAAAAGAAGAGAAAAGAAGAGGAAAATGAGGAAGAAAAAAGAAAAAGAGAAAAGGAAAGGAAAACGAGGAAGAAAAGAAGAGAAAAGAAGAGGAAAAATGAGGAAAAAAAGAAAAGAGAAAAGGAAAGGAAAATGAGGAAGAAAAAAGAAAAGAAGAGGAAAATGAGGAAGAAAAAAGAAAAAGAGAAAAGGAAAGGAAAATGAGGAAGAAAAAGAAAAGAAGAGGAAAATGAGGAAGAAAAAAGAAAAAGAGAAAAGAAGAGGAAAACGAAGAAGAAAAGAAGAGAAAAGAAGAGGAAAATGAGGAAGAAAAAGAGAAAAGGAAAGGAAAACGAGGAAGAAAAGAAGAGAAAAGAAGAGGAAAATGAGGAAGAAAAAAGAAAAAGAGAAAAGGAAAGGAAAACGAGGAAGAAAAGAAGAGAAAAGAAGAGGAAAATGAGGAAGAAAAAAGAAAAAGAGAAAAGGAAAGGAAAACGAGGAAGAAAAGAAGAGAAAAGAAGAGGAAAATGAGGAAGAAAAAAGAAAAAGAGAAAAGGAAAGGAAAATGAGGAAGAAAAAAGAAAAGAAGAGGAAAATGAGGAAGAAAAAAGAAAAAGAGAAAAGAAGAGGAAAACGAGGAAGAAAAGAAGAGAAAAGAAGAGGAAAATGAGGAAGAAAAAAGAAAAAAGGGAAAAGAAAAGAGAAAGGAAAAGTGGCTGAAAAAATAAAGAAAATGTGGAAGAAAAAAGAGAAAGTAAAACAAAAAAGAAAATAAGAAAGAAAAAAAGCAAATGACAAAGAAAAGGAGAAAAGAGAAAGAAAGACGAATGAAAAGGGAAAGAAAAACAGGGTGAAAAACATGAAGAAATAAAGAAAGAGAATAAAGGAAAAAGTGAAAAGCACATTGTCTCACACTCAACATAGAGGCCTACATTAAGTGCCTTGAGGAGATATTGCTGCCCTGGGTCAAGAGGATGGCTGCTGGAAGACTTTGTGTCTGGCAATATGATTCTGCACCATGTCAAACAAGCAGAAGTACCCAGTCATGGCTGTCAGATAATTTCTGTGACCACAACATCCCTTTTATCTGGCCACCTAACTCACCAGACTTGTAAGCCTCTTGATTATTTATGTTGGGCACAGTTGAGTGAGAGATCAATAAAACTCATTGTAACAGCAAAGATGAGCTGAAGGCAAGGATCATGGCAGCATTCACCTACTTAAACAAAGAGATCGCTCAGAAGAAATGTAGGAAATTCTGAAGTCTTTTGGTGTCCGTGGTTTAGTATTTCAAAATATTTCTGTTCAATTTTTAAATTTTTCATTGGAAAAATACGAAAAAAGAGTAAGTAATAACGGAATTATTCGTTTTGTTACATTTAATTTGCACAAGGGTGTACCTGGCCGAGTTCATGTACAGTCAGTAAGTCCCGATGTCCGATGGAGTCGACCCATTCGACGTCATCCTGCAGTGGAGAAATAAATATCATTTAAGAAACGAATAGTATATGTTTTACACATCTGTATTTGTGAAAAAGTTTTAAAATTAATTTAAAAAGTGGCGACGGATAACTCACAGTAGCGAAAAATCTTTATCTTTTCTGCTAATTCACCCCAAAATAAAAAGAATTTACTAAAAATTCACACCAAATTTCAGAAATGTCTTCACACAAATAAGAGTCTATCATAAGCCCAAGATTTACCTTGACCGCCACTGAGTCAGGTTATGATACAAGGTCGAGTTTAAACGCGTTTCCCCTCGGGTCGCTGGTCTTTGTCTAAGCTGGTCATATCTTGTCTAAGATGGTCATAGCTTGTCTAAGCTAGCTATAGCGGGTCATACCGCCGATATGTAACAGATGTCACGCAGATGTCAATCATCACGCAATGGATGATTGAAGGCCTCCGGTACGGAACAGATGCATCTACAACAACGGTGAAAAGAAAAACTCATCTCTCCTCCACTGGCAATCCCTCTGGAGGAACCCGGATGGAAATCCCCCCTCCCCCCAATGCTGTGATGAGCCTTGAACATGGATGGATTCTTCATTTTGGCGTCCCGTCAGCAGGTACTTTCGATTGTTTTCGTGTGAACTTATGTTTTGGGGTCAAAGATATATATATATATATATATATATATATATATATATATATATATATATAATAATAATAATAATAAAAAAAAAACATTATATTTTATTATTATATATATATATATATATATATATATATATATATATATATATATATATATATATATATATATATATAAATAATAATAATAATAATAATAATAATAATAATAAAAAAAAAAAAACACTATAATTTATTCCAGTGTGTGTATGTCACCACGAAATGTATCTTTAACATCCGACAACATTCATATTTCCCCCTTCCACTCCTCTCCTAAATTTCTCTCTGTTAAGGTTTAATCTCCCACCTTCTCTCGTCTGTTACACCTCCCCCCTTTAGCTCTAACATTCGTCCCCCCCTCATACTTACACTCTCTCTAAATTCTATTTTTATTTCCGGAGTAGTTTTTTCTGTTTTCTTTTTGAATTTGGAGGTCTGATGAATTGGATCGTATTTACGATTCCAATGGAATAAATTATGACCATGGAATATTAGTGTTTAAGTCTTTTTCTTATATCCTTACTCTGTCCTGGACATTGAGTTCTACCTGGATTCTATCCTCTTGGAATTTTTTTATTCAAAAGTTATACATGTATGTATACTTATGTATGAGTATATTTACCACTAATATTTTATATATATCAATTCATCGAGTCTGATACAAATCTCCACAGAATGCACTGGACGGCCGTTTCGTCCTATATTTGGGACTCATCAGCAGTACCGAGAATTGAAACCCTGACAGTTGGGTTGTCAAGCGAACATCATACCAACTGTTCCAAGTGGGTCTCGGTAACGAAGAGATTGCAAATCAGACTCAACAAAGCGCCGCTCGCTCACATATTCCGTGGCGGAACTCGACTGAGATTCTCTGTAACCATAGGACTGTGCCCCCTGGAGCCACGACTACTCTCACCAAGCCGCTACCTACTGTAGCATTAGAAGCCGGTTCAAGCGATGATAAACACAAATAGTAATTAGTCGGAGGAGTTGATAAATTAATTAATTCATCGAGTCTGATAGAAATCTCCACAGAATGCAGAAAGCACTGGACGGCCGTTTCGATGTATGGGCTCTAATATATATATATATTCCTCAATCCGAGCCGATATCCATTACTCCACCGTGCAGAGCCGAGTTCGAATCCAGGTTGAATCCATTACATTCACTTACATGCTAATACCCTTGGGAAAGGTATGAATCCTCTTCTTCTCCCTTCAGCTATGGGTAAAATAGCAGGACAGACTGAGTTCTATAGCCTTGGATGGCAACTGGTCTAAGAGAAGGACAACTCTGAATTCAAAACCTGTGGAGGGTTGTTTGGGGACCTTGTGGCACGTAGTGCACCAGGTTTCTGTATTCGTCCCTTCAAAAAGTGTGGATGGTCCTGCACGAGGCCTTCACCACTATAATCAAATCTCATGTGCCGGTGTCGGGCTGTTAGTTTCCTGAAACTGATCTGTTTTCACCCTCATACGTCGAACCGACGGGAGAATCGATTTATATATATATATATATATATATATATATATATATATATATATATATATATACTTTCCAACAATCCGACATAATCATAGTCCCAAATAAAATACGTAGGAAAATATTTACTCGCTGTAAGAAGCGAATACCACACTTCTTGTCGTTGTATTTTGATTTAATATTTACAATTTCAAAAGAGTGCAAAAAATTTAATTAAAAAATGAAATTTCGCGCGCTAATTATAGAGACTATCCGAAAGCACGGCTGACTGTCCGTCCAACTATTAGGCTGTGAAAACGACCTCATTGTGACCACAGAAAGAGAACGGACCCTACTATCAACGTGACAAGCCTAAACTGATAGCCAACAAGCAGTCAGCTTGGTTAAGCAAACTCCTTTTTCGCACCTCGTACACCGCACATTCGAACGCTACACTATACGACTTATCAGCGACGTTTTCATATCTTGTAAATGAAAACAAATTTTTGGTCATTTTTGCAAACCAGTGTCTAATTTGTTTCTTTGCTCCAGCCAACTTCCACCTCGGATCAAATTCACCCCAAAATATTAATTTACCCTAATATAAAAAGAGTTTATATTTACTAAAATTCACACCCAAATTCAGAAATGCATTTATTGTTATTTTTTGCATTACGTCTCCAAAGGAACTTGTGCAGATCTATTACGCACGAACATACATACATACAAAAATACAAATCACATACAATGCCAAGCATTCATTGGTTAATAAATCACTAATACATTTCCTACAGGCAATTTACAAATCGCAGTAATGCGACGATTTTGTAATCGCTCTATTTTTAAGTAGTCAATTTTGTGCACTTTTGGGAGAAGCGGATCACAGAAGCTTTCTTAAGTCTCCCCAAAGCTCGCTCGCTGATTGGTCAATGTCAACCAATCAGATCGTTTGCACGTGAAGAATAACTCTTCCTGCGCAACGATTTGGAGCCTATAGTCGCTTAATTAAGCCAAGATTTTTCTAATCCCAACTAGTGAGATTTCAACTGCTAAACGAATCCACGGCAGTTGAAACCATGCGCCAACCTTCTCCCTCACACACACCACCCACATGCTGAACATACCTTGTACACACTCACATAAACTCTTCTTACACAGCAATATCTTTCAAGAACAATCATTACAAGAGACTCTCATGAACATTCTTCCAGTGAACTTTGGAACACTAAAATAACAGTTAAAGAGAGACAACTCTTGTTTGATTCAACCTTTTCTTACTTAAATGCATGCTTTCCTTCACATCGTTGTTTGATATTGTATATCTTGTTAAATACATATTTTATGTGTAGCAATGTCTTTGTTATCCTTTTCTGCGTGAGTCTTGTTTCCTAATCTAAAGTTAAATTAATGGGGTGAAGTCCGCTACAAACTCACACAAATAAAAGTCTATTATGCCAAGATGGCTTCCCGAACATGGACTTATTCTTCATTTTGATGACCCGTCAGGCACTTTCAATTGTTTGCATGTGAATTGATGTTTTGGGGTCAACAAAATTCATACTGTGATTTACAATCAGATGAATATAATTGGTATCTTCCTTCAAAGATGTATAGCCTTTCCAACAACATCCTGGGTAAGACGATAAACTACGTCCAGCAGCAAGGCCTCTAGTCAGGTTTTGAGGAGCATGGAAACACCTCTTAATTGATGGTGTTCCCAGGTCCACCCTAAACCGGGCTGGTAGCACCTGTTAGTGGTCCCAACTATGGGTAAATAGCTAACCCCTGAAATGGGGTCACAACACTATGTAAGTGTAAAAATAGGTTTTAATACCAGAAATACTTTTGTAAAAAAAAAAAGAAGATTTTTACCAGTAATACATTTTTGAAAAAAAAATAAAGATATTACCAGCTCTACATTTTTGAAGAAAAAATATTACCAGAAATAAAAATTTTGTCGGCATTAAATAACACTTGAGGTTGATATGCCGTGAACCAAACCAACCCAAACCAAACCAAACCTTTCAAACAATCCGACATAATCGTAGTCCCAGGTAAAATACAGTTTCGGATTGCGTTCAATAACATGGAGGCTGATCTATCTGGCAATTTCATGACAAGCTAAAGAAATTTTGATTTAAAATTTATGATTTCAAAAGAATCCTAAAAATGTACAGTGTAACCCGGATATAAGAGAGTTGTCGGGACCGGAGAAGTCTCTTATATCCGGGTTTCTCTTATATCCGGGTTTGGTCTATTTTATTTAG